AATTGCATTTCTAATGATCTGTATTTGCATATGATAAATCTCCAATCATTATCACACTCTAAAATATTAACATCATCAAATATCCAGTTGGGTTCAAATAGCCAAATGTCATTTTTTTTTTACACTTTATTTGGTACAGGACCCAAATATGTTTTTTGAAGGAGTAATAAAATTTTTGGCAGTTGCTAAATATCTAGACTTCTACAAATTCTGATTCTTATATATTTTTCCTAAAGTACAATAATAATTGTATCATAAAAGAGTTATATTTTCAGTCGTTTGGGTAGCATTATTAAGTATCTTTCTTTTGGTAATTGAGTACAATTTTTTTTTTCTGTCTCTGCCACTAAATAAAGGTATGACCTTGGGCCATTCACTCAACCTCGTCAAGAAATCAGTTTCCATTGTTGGTTTCCACCATTCCATTCATTTCCATGAATTGACTAGTCAACATTCTTTTATGGAGAGCCTAGCAGGTGGGAGGCAGGGCAGCACATGACAAAGAAGAGTTTTGACATCCTGCAGCTCTGGACCGGAACCCTGCCACATACAGGCCATTGAGCTAAGTTTAACCTCTCTTGCGTCAGTTTCCAAATCTGTGAAATGCAGAGAATAGTTACCATACCCAGAAAGTTTTTCATGTGTGCACATAATGGTGGGGTATGGGGGGAAGGTGGATAAATTGAGAAATTATGGTTATAGTGCTTGACACATAGTAATGCAACAATAAATAGTAAATAGAGTTAGACTATCAACCGTCTGGGACAGGATTGAGGGATGAGGCCAGAAGGAAAAGCAATGGCAATGGTTCGAACTACCTCGTTTAATAAAGTGGCTCTTAGCCACACATGGCTACTGAGCACTTGAAAGGTGGCTAGTCCAAATTGAGATGTATTGTAAGTAAGCACTCTGGGTTTCTAAGCTGGAGTATGAACAAAACCCATAAAATATCTCCTTAATAATTTTTGATCTTTAGTATGCATTGAAATTATAATATGTTGGATATACTGGGCTAAATAAAATATGTTATTAAAACAGCACTATGTACACTGCCCAACCAGAGCTCCCTGTATTGTAGATATCTGTTTATTCATCATTCTTGCCTTTAGCTCAGTGGTCCTCAGAGTGTGGTCATAGAAACAGAAGACCCAGCATCCCCCTGGGATCTTGTCAGAAACACAAATTTCTGGGTCCCACCTCAGACCTACTGAGTCAGAAACTCTGGGACTGGGGCCCAGAAATCTGTGTATTAACAGGTCCTCAAGGGGAGTCTGATACTTATCCATTTGAGAAACACTGCTACACTGAGTTTCTGGGCTTGGGACCACATCCAATTCACTCTGCATTGCCACTCAGCCCAGTGATTATTTGTCAAATGAAAAAAATGGATGAATGAATCCTGATGACTGTGGGGACATCGGAGGATATCCAGCAGGGGAATGTCATGGTCTGATTGCCTTTTAGAAAGTTACTTTTGCAAGCTGTGTAGAGTATAGATTATAAGAAGAAGTTACTAGAGGCAACTGAATTTGCTTATAGGAAAATTATTATTTGAAAAATCTAAATATAGGGGGGCGGAGCAAGATGGCAGAGGAGTAGGAGACCTGGGTTTTGTCTGGTCTCAGGAATTCAACTGAATAGGGATCAAACCATTCTGAACACCTACGAACTCAACAGGAGATCGAAGAAGAGAGTAGCAACAACTCTCTGAACAGAAAAGTGAC